GCGGGCCCGCGGCCCATGGCCGTCGCGCCGCGGCCCCCGGCCCCGGCCGCGGCCGCCGGGGCCGCGGCGGCGCCGCCGCGGGGCCAGCGCGTGTCGTCCTACCTCTGGCGCGCCGTCGCGGCCTTCCTCGCCGGCGACGCGGCGGCGCTGCGCGCCGCGGCCTGCGCCTGCGACGCGCTCCGGCGCGCGACGGCGCGCGACGACCTCTGGGCGCGCGCGCTCGCGGCGCTCGGCGCGCTCCACGCGGGCCGCGGCGGCGCGCGGGCCCGCGCCGTGCGGGCCGCGGCGTTCCGCGCGCCCCGGGCCGTCGGCGTCGCCTCGTCCCGGGCCCGCGGCGCGCACGGGCGCGCCGTCGGCGCCGCGCGGGCCGCGCTGGCCGTCGACGCGCCGCCGGCGCCGACCGGCGCGGCCCTCGGCCTCGACGGCCGCGGGCGCCTCGCCTTCTGGCGGCCCCGGCCCGCGCGGAGGCGCCGGACGCCCGCGGCCTGGCGCCGCTTCGCCGGCGCGGTCGACCGCGGCGGCGCCGGCGCGCCGCGGCCCGCGCCGGAAACGGCCGGCTTCGTCCAGCCCACACGTCTCTCGTGGTCGGTCCATCTCGAGGTCGTTTCGGCTTCTTTTCGGACGATCTCTCGCCGAGCGCTCGACTCCGACAAACTTCCCTCGGACGCGCGGCCGTCGACGCGTTTGTCTCCCGCGCAGGCCGCGGCGCGTCGCGGGCCTCGCGGCGAACGCGGGGCCGGGCGTCGCGGCCGTCGTCTTCGGCGAGGTCGACGGCGACGGGCCGGAGCCGCGCGCCGAGTTCCGCGGCCTCGCCGTCGGCCCCGTCGTCTGCGGGTCCTACGGCTTCACGCGGGGCAGGAAAAGAGTGCGAAATTCCCAACTTCAAAGGCTCCTATCTCGGTCGTTTTCCACTCGTTTCGGCTGATTTTTGGACGAGCGATCATCGCTCGGAACGGTCTCGACGCGTGGATGCTTTTCGGAACGCGCGCGCGCGGAACACTCATGTTGAAGCGAACTTGAATCACCCTTTTCCTGCCCAGGCTTCACGGACGCGCCGCTCTGCGACGGCCGGTGCCTCGGCGCCTTCGCGCTCCACGGCGCGTCGGGCGCCCTCGGCGGCGGAGACGACTTCGAGGCCGCGGTCCTCGAGGGCGGCGAGGCGGCCAGAGGGACGCTCGCGGGCGCCGCGCACGTGCAGCGGCGCGACCCCTGGCGGCCGGCGGTCCGCGGCGCCTACGACGCGGACGCGCCCGCGCCCGCGCGCGTCGACCCGGCCGACGCCGACGCCGTCGGCCACTGGGCGCGCGCGACGCTCGCCCTCGACACGCGCGGGCCGCCCCGCGGCTGCGTCGACGCGCCTTCGGCGCGCGTCCGCCGCGTCGCCGCGGTCCTCACCGTCGAGGCAAACGGCGCGGACCCCGAGTTTTTGGACGTGTTTTGCGGTGTGTCGATGCGTGGGTTCTTAGGCGCGGCGGGCTGGGCCTTCGAGCTCGAGGGGACGCTCCGGCGGTCGCCGGACGACGCGGCGGGCGCGTGGCTCGCGCTCGAGGGCCGCGCCGCGCGCCGGGGCGCCGCGCCGAAGCTGGCGCCGGGCGGCGCCTGCCGCGGCGCCTACGACGCGCTCGCCGGCGCGGGCTGGCCGCCGGCCGCCGCGGCCGAGGGCGACGCGCTCCTCGTCGAGGGCGAGCTCCGCGGCGGCGTCCTCGCGGCCGTCCTCCGCCTCCACACGGGGCGCGTCGGCTTCGTCGACGGCGCCCTCGCCGCGGGCCTCGTCGAAGTCGACGCGGCGTCCTTCGAGGAGCTCCGTGCGCGAAGCTGGTGGGGGAGGGGGGGCCTCGGCGGCGCGGCGGCAAGGTGACGTCAAGGTTACGTAAACATCGACCTCGAACTCAATCGAGAGCCATGGCGACCTCCACAGGCTTCGAGTAACTCTGGGCGTGTGTGCATGCGCGCGCTGCGCTTCGCTGTCGCGCCGCGATCCGCGCCGCGACCCGCGCCGCGTCGCTTCGCAGCCGCCGCGCCGCGCGCCATGATCGACCTGCGCAAGGGCCACCCGCGCCTCGAGGAGCTGCCCCACGGCGCCGTGTCGCGGGCCTGCGCGGCGGCGGCGGCGGACCTGGCCGCGCGGGGCGAGGCGGGGCTCCCGCTCAACTACGGGCCCGCGCGGGGCCAGCGCAGCCACCTGGCCGCGCTCGCCGGCTGGCTCGCGGCGCGCTACGGGTCGCGCGTCGACCGGTCGTGGCTGATGACGACGAACGGCGTGTCGCACGGCCTCGAGCTCTGCGCGGCGGCGCTCACGCGGCCCGGCGACGAGATCCTCGTCGAGGCCCCGACCTACTTCCTCGCCGCGGCCATCTTCCGCGACCACGGCCTGAAGATCCGCGGCGTCGCCGTCGACGCGGCCGGCGTGGA